AAAAAATAAAAAGAAAAAAAGACGAAGAGAAAAAGAAGGAAAAAGATGAAGGGAAAAAGAAGAAAAAAAGACAAAGAAAAAAAGAAGAAAAAAGACAAAGGAATAAAAAGCAAAAAGAAAAGAAATAGGAAGAAGAAACCACCGAATAGAAAAAAAAATAAAAAGAAAAAAATAAAAAGAAACAAAAATGAACAAGAAACGAAAAGAAAAAAGAAACGAATAAAGAAAAAAAAAATTTGTTAGTTTCAAAATAAAAAAAAGAAACTAAAAAAAAAAAAAAATACAAACTTGTTTAAAGCGAAGCAAAAAGCAAAACAAAAAGCAAAGAGAAAGCGAAGCAAAAAGCGAAATGAAAAGTGAAGCAAAGGCAAAGCAAAAAGCAAAGCGAAAAGCAAGACAAAAAGCAAGACAAAAAGCAAGACAAAGAGCAAGCAAAGAGCAAGCAAAAAGCAAAACAAGTGAAAAGCAAAGCAAAAACAAAGCAAAAAGTAAAAAGCAAAGAGGCAAAGGCAAAAAAATGTGATCTATGATCTACTTATATGATCGCAATCTAAAAAATAATTGGCTAATCATATAGGGTCGCCATGGTGACAGGTCACCAAATTAATTTTGCTAAAGAATAAATAATAAAATTAAAAACCGATAAGAAAAGATCTGCAAAGATCATTACTTTTAAAATTTTGTGCAAATCAGCTTTTTAAAAACTGCAAAGATTTTCAAAGATTTTTAAAAGTTAGAACTTCACAGTTTTTTTATTAGAGTTCTGCGATGATTTGATAATTTTAATGATCTTTGCAGATTATTATTAGTTTTACTTTTTCGATATATATGATGTATTATTTATACATATTTATATGATATACAGTATTTATACTACTTATGGCATTTATACGGCATACGGTACTTCTACTTATATGGCAAATATGCCGTATCATTGTAATTTTTTGCCAGGTAGTTACCCTCAAGATTTTAAATATCTGCATCATTAATGTTCATAGACAATTAATTTTTTCTGATTTATGATCTCTTTGTTGTACAATATAAATAATAATTTTGGTTTTTGACTTCTACCATGATGATACTTAAATATCTTCTTTACAACAATTGACTTGTTGATTTTATTCTTTTCGACTTGCTCTTTTACAACAACAAATTTATTGTTTCTTGCATATTGATTAAGAAACCACTTTGCATAATCGTAATTATCAAATACTATTTCAACTTCTAATAAAATATTGTCACTTTCATTATCTTCTTGATATTTAGGAATATTTAATTCTGAAAAATCTAGAAAGATACAATATTAAAAAAAAAAAATACAGGAAGTTCTAAGCAATTTAAAAATACTTACTATCATCATTACTATTACTAAACATGTTTTCATTAATATAATTTTTGAAACAATTCTCATTATCAAATAGTGATGCATTATATATTTTGAAAGCAGATATAAAATGAGATAGATCATAAAGGCAGTGTTATTTATCACCTGATTATTTTTTATCAGAGGATTACTCCCCCTCCCCCTCTTAATATAAAAAAAAATCAGGTTCTTATATATAATTTTAACTTTTTTTACCCCTCCCCCCTAAAAAATCAACTGATTTTTGTCATATCTCTAAGCATTTTCTATATTTTGTGAAAAGTAAGGTTGAGATCTTGAAAAATTATCTATATTCATATTCAAATTTTGTATTTTATATTAAATTAATTAGCTATCGCAAAGTATATTTAATATGATATTAACACCTATTAGTAGTACAATTATTTGTATAATACAACTAATATTATATATACCAGTGATGATCACTACTAGCAAAATTAAAAATTACTAAAATGGCATATTATACTTACTGATGATGATCACTAACAATGATACTAAGAAATAATCTTTTTTTATTATAGTGAATAAATATATAAGAAAATAAATATTAATAAATCTAGATAATAAACTTGTAAATTTACAAATTTAAATATATTGATTAAAATCTTTACATATAACTAAATAATACAAATATAACTATAATATGCTATAGTTATTTTAAATATAATTATATGAGCAGTACTATATGGTGATATTTATTTATAAAAAAATTTTTTTAAATATTTGCAAACTTGAATCACTTATTTAATTAATTAGTAAATTTCTAATTATTATTAAGTATAACAAATATAACTTTGCCAGCAATCATTTTTCAAAGTTATATATAAGTTTACTATAAATTTTACCTCTAAAACTAACTTCTGCTATTAATGTATCTTGTCTATCTCATATTATACAAAATTTTTTTAATTTATTTATGACCTTTGCTTATATTGTTTAATAACTAAAAGTATTATATTATTGTCTCTATAGAAGTTTTGACTTAAGTTAAATCAGAAATAATATACTAAATTTTATTTTCATATATAAATCATAGTATATTAAAAGTTTCTGACCTTTTAACTAGAGATGTTATTTTATTTACTTGAACTTAGTTTGATTTAATAAAATTCGAGTTTTTGCAAACACATGATTTTCATTATCATATTTAAATTCTTGCTCAAAATGAGTTCAAAATCGATTAAATAAGCCAAAATACTTGATTTGTAATTATATAACTTTAGACTTTAATTATCAATTATTATCTTTATGGCATTACATTTACATTAATATGATGAAAATTAGTTTTTTTTTGTTAATTTTAATTAAAAGTTAATAAAAGTTAATTTATTGTAGTGATACAGAACTATTTGATTGTACAAGCAACAAAGCAAAGCAATGTTTTGAAGGCAAAAAAATACAATTAATCTAATATGTAATTGATTGTCTAGAGAGGATGAAATTAGCCAGAGCAACCCCAAAAATATAGACACATAATTCAAACCATTGCTACAGTTATATCTTTAATTAATGACCACCAGTTAATTGAAAAATTTCTAATATTAAAATATAATGCAGATCATATATAAACAAGACTTGAATAAAAATTTTTGAGTTATAAGTGAAGTCACAAAATTTTTAATTAAATATAGTATTAAAGTAACACAATCGATAGAATGAAACTATAAATTTTTAATTATAAAGTTTTTAAATATTGTTTGTTTTTTTTAATAAATTTTATTTTGTAAGCATGCAGCATTTACTATACTAAACTCTATACTAATTAGATCTATAGCTAAATTGAGGTATTTAATAATATCTTATTTTTAACTTATTTTCTAAACAAGTTTGTAATTTTTTTCTAACTTTTAGGTTCTTGAAAATATATTATACTTAAAAATAAACTAGTCACAAGATTTGTAAAGTATTGCTACCATAATATATTATATCCTGGTATAAATCACAAAATTTTTTTTCTAATATTTAAACTGTTTTTATAAATAAAAACATCTATGCTCTTAAACTTTTTTCTTTATGCTCTCAACTGTATAGTAAATCTGGGTTTATTATATAGAAGTAAAATTGGTAAAATATAAAAGACCTGAATCTTGTATATAGTGAATTACAAATCTACATTGTATTGTATAAGTATAGGATCTTAAAATATACTAATTTTTTATATACTATATACTTATAAAAAAGTTAATGTTCATATCACTTTAGTTTCATTGTTTTTTTTTTATAGTCATTTCTCTGGTTATCTAGATGCATTTGGTTTTTTAGAGCTAAATGAAAGCATAGCTGCAGTAATCTTGAATTAGTAAAAAGGCACTAGCAAATATACAGGATCTCTTTAATTCACTAACAATCATTTCACCGAATGATTATTTAGTCAACATCATATAGAGTTAGGGTTAAGCATTTCATTAGTTGCAAGTATATATTTTACTAAATTTCATCTGGTATGATATCATTTAAATGAGTTGTCAATAAAGTAATTATTGGTGAATCAATACAGACTCCAAATATATTATGCAAAACATAAAGTATCAAACTTTTGAGCTAATATCTTGAAAAAGCATTGATTAATATACTTTGTAAGAGCAGAAGTCTTTTTCATTTTTTAATAGCTGCCTTATCTTGTTTAATATATCAAAAATGCATTGAATATAGGCATTTTTTTTATAGGATAAGCATCTTTTACTATAATATAGATATCTTTTACAGGCATCTTTTAATATAGTAAAAGCACTTTGCCAAATTGAGTTTGTTTGGCTTTGTTTGTCTCTTATATTGTTATTGTATTATTCTGGGCTATTCTGGAGCATTACTTGTACTCATGTACCTTGATCTGGGTTCTGTTTATGTTAAATGAACTAAAAATTTAAATACTAAATAACTATTGCTTTAATAAATAATTTGTCAGTCATCTGGAAAGCTATGTGATGCAGATTACACAAAATTTATATATAAATTATATATAAATTCTTCAATTAATAAATGTGAAAAAATTATATCTAAAACTTTTTTTTTACTAAGTAAATTACTCTTGTGTTTCTAACAAAGTTGTAGAGCTTATTAAGATGCATTTAATAATAATAAGAACGTTAAAATCATCCTAGTAGTTCTTGAGAAATCTTTGGAAAAACATTTTGCTAACATATAAAATTTCTTTAAAAAAAATCTATTTTGGCTGAAATATAGTATAAGTAACCCCTTTTTACTAGCATTATACCAATTTTTGGCCAGAATTATATCAATTTTTGGCTGGAATTATCACAGAAGGATCCACGCATATATATATATAATATTATTATATACCCTTTTTTTATACAATTTTTAGGGTATATACCTATTTTTTAGAGTATATACACTATTTTTTGAGGTATATACCCCATTTTTTGGGGTACATATTCTATTTTTAGAATATATTATATATCACGTGACCTCTATTTTTAGAATCTAGAGTACTTTTTTGTATAATCTAGACCAGACAGAGTCTTATAAGTATGTACCCTATTTTTTGGGTATATACCCCAATTTTTAGGGTGCATATCCTAAATTTTAGGGTAGGGGTCACCTATACTATATTTCAGCCTCAATTTTTTTAAAAAAATTTTATATGTCAACAAAATGTTTTTCAAAGATTTTTCAAGAATTGCTAAGCTAATTTTAATGTTCTTATTACTATTAGATACATCTTGATAAGCTCTACAACTTTTGTTAGAAACCCAAGAGTGATTTA